TTCGGCCGTTCGTGGAGTTCTTGGCGGCGCCCTTCTGGTCATCACTGGCCGATCGGTTCCACAAAAGCAAACTCTTTCTCCTGTTTTCTCTGGTCTGTTGGATAGTCTTCACGTTCAGCCTGGCCTTTATCAGACCCCCGGCCTCTGCCTGCGTTATATTCAACGAAACCCATCACATCCTATTCACGCCATACTCCGACTACAACAGCCCCGACACCACCAGTGAGCCCGACATAAGTGAAAACAGCGCTAATATTGACGCCAAGCTTCACGCCATCCATAAGCGAAGTAATCAATCATTTTTTGATACCTTATTTGACGCGAAATACTTATAATTGGTTTTGTAATCATAGTTTGAGATTATCATAGCAATAGTATAATGATACTTTTGAAGTATTATTACTGTATTTATTTCTATCATATCACAGTGTTATTTACTATATTAGTTATGTAGTCTATAATTATATTTCTAATCAATAAATATTTATTTATAGTACAGAATATTCTATACAATATTCTTAATTCGGCCGTTCGTGGAGTTCTTGGCGGCGCCCTTCTGGTCATCACTGGCCGATCGGTTCCACAAAAGCAAACTCTTTCTCCTGTTTTCTCTGGTCTGTTGGATAGTCTTCACGTTCAGCCTGGCCTTCATCAGACCCCCGGCCTCTGCCTGCGTTATATTCAACGAAACCCATCACATCCTATTCACGCCGTACTCCGACTACAACAGCCCCGACACCACCAGTGAGCCCGACATTAGTGAAAACAGCGCTAATATTGACGCCAAGCTTCACGCCATCCATAAGCGAAGTAATCAATCATTTTTTGATACCTTATTTCATGCGAAATACTTATAATTGGTTTTGTAATCATAGTTTGAGATTATCATAGCAATAGTATAATGGTGCTTTTGAAGTATAATGGTGCTTATATTATTACTGTATTTATTTCTATCATATCACAGTGTTATTTACTATATTAGTTATGTAGTCTATAATTATATTTCTAATCAATAAATATTTATTTATAGTACAGAATATTCTATACAATATTCTTATGATTAGAAATATTATTTTTATTAAAGTTAGCATAATATCAATTACACACAACCTTTGCACAAATCATACAAATAGCCAATTAAATCAAACTGACCACGCACAATTTCTTATCATAAATCTAATGTAACCACAGAATCCTATAAAAAATCCTAAATATAAATACAATTTTACGTCATATCAAGTAATATATAATAAAATGAAAATCATTTCTCAAATAATAGGCGCCGAAGACAACAAGGAGGAGGAGAACGAGTGGATCCGTAAGTGGGGGTCAAAGCATAAGCCCCCTCCCACTCATATAGTGGGCAAAAGTCCGCTGACAGTCGAGTATACCTTGAATTACAATCAGGAGAAACACGTGTCATATGTGTCGCCGCCGTTCTCTACGATTGTCTACAAATTAGATGACGTGAAGGAAGTCTTCTTCCTTTTACTGCTTCTCATACTTTTGGGCGAATTCTTCAGCGCACCCGCCATTACCCTCGCCGACAGCGCCACACTCAGCTACCTGGGTAAGTCACCTGGCATATTTATNTAGATGACGTGAAGGAAGTCTTCTTCCTTTTACTGCTTCTCATACTTTTGGGCGAATTCTTCAGCGCACCCGCCATTACCCTCGCCGACAGCGCCACACTCAGCTACCTGGGTAAGTCACCTGGCATATTTATCTAATTAACACTGATTATAGTACAGTAATCTATATAAACTGAAATATTTAATAAATAGCATATAATTTATGTTTATGATAATTATTAGTGATTTTTAACAGAATAGTCATACAAAATAAAACAGAGAGTTCCGTTAATCCAGTACAATTAGTTTAATTTTCAATATTATACTCTACAAATATTTTGTGATTAATTTACTGTTTGTTAAAAAATACATTAAAATCGTAACTATAATAGTAATATGATAAGAATAAAGTCAGTGGGATTAAAAGTGCATAATTTAGTATAATTTTTAAAATATTAATAAATTTTAACTAATAAAAAGTTTATCAATCATCAGTTTGTGGTTTGAAAAGTGTATTTAGCCGAGGTCCGGATAATCCAAATGTACATTAATAATTTATCCAGTAATTCTATATATAATTTAATGTTAATTTTACAGTTTGTCACAAAAAAATCATTTATAAAAGCCACTAAAAATTAACACAATAAATACTTCGCAAACATATTATTTCCACAAAAAATCACAGAATATTCTGTCGACTAAACAAATATCCGTATATTTAGGCGAAAACACCGATAATTACGGTCAGCAGCGGATGTTCGGGTCGTTCGGATGGGGGATAACCATGTTTTTCGTGGGCATGGCTTTAGACAACTCGACCAAATTCACGGACCATCCGTGCGGTGCACACATCGGTGAACGCAATTACGTCACGTGTTTCACGATTTTTGCTTTTTTGATGGCCTGTGCGCTCATAGCCGCCACTCAGTTCCGGTTCGACTACGAGGCCAACTACCAGTCCTCCAACACCGATGACATTCAGATGAAACCCTATGATTACGACACCTCTCAGGCCAAGCCGTGGCTCAACACTGCGCCGCCTATTAATAAGCCCCCGGAGATGGCCGCACACGACAGGAAAATGGAGTTCATGGACAACTGGAAGGTATGGCCCAATGGTGTTGACTACCTGTGCTTAGAAATTAGTTGTGATATTAGATTTAGGCAATAGTTTATTGAATATTTCAAAAATCTAAAGAGTCTCAAAGTAAGATTCCTATTTTGTCATTGATACTTTTAGTAAAATGATAATTTTTTCCGGATAAAACTAAAAGCAATTCTAATAAGATCAGAAAGTTGAATTAAATCTCAATTTCAGTATAATAAATCTAATATCAACTATTTAACTTTATAAGTATTTTAAGATTAATTTACAATTTGTGAAAAGATTTATCGATTGATCAAAATATATTACAGTTTTTTCCTAATTTAATATCAAGTTATAAAAAAGTTAAACATACATTATATTCCATGATGATATAAATCCTTTACATAATTTGGGATGATTGTTCAGTAATTTTATAATATTTAAAAGTTTATTTTACAGCTTATCACATAAATATTTAAAATATTGCCATTATATTATTATAAAATAGAAAATTGCCATGATAGAAAATAACTTTTTAATTAGAAACAAATAATTTTAACATACCTGTATATTGTCATTATGTCATTACATTAAATTCACTTCTTAACAATGCGGATAATCATTATTGTCCTAGCTAATTTAAACCCATTTTATATTCCAGTCGGCAGTGTTCGCTCAGCGCACGAGACAACTGCCCCAATGGGTGTCTGTCATCAAATCCCTGGCCACTCTACGTCAGGCGGCCTTCCTGTTGGTCACGTGGTTCATGGGGTTCGGCATCGGACTGGTCTTCACGTTCCTCTTCTGGCACTTACAAGACTTGGGCGGAACGCCTACTCTGTTCGGTGTGGCCTCTGTTATCAACCATATCTCAGAGATTTGCGCCTATTTTTACAGCTATTCACTCATCAAAACCTACGGACACACAAAGGTCTGTCCTAACCCTGCCCTCCCTCTCACTAAACTACTAATAGCTATGTTAAACACCCAGGTATTATGCA